GGGGACTTTATTGCTTTGCTCCCGTTGCTGCTCTGTTGCACACCCTTAGCATTTTACCCTGGTGTGGTGGGGTCAGATGGGGCACAATTCCCGAATTCAGTGCATTTTCCAAGCAGACTGATTTACATCCAAGTTTCTGTAAGGGAGGCTTGAAACTGCTGGTTTACCCTATCGGTTTCACAAAATAGAATTGTTTCAGCTTCTTCTGCAAATTTGCTGCACAATTTGGTTATTGTACCCAAAATGAACACAAAGAATCCGATGGCAACCTTTGGCCATAGTGAAGAAGTGCTTTTATATTTGTGTTTTGCACAAAAAGTTGAGATTCCTTGTAGCACCCCCTACCAAGGTGTGCTAAAACCTAGGTAATTGAACTGGCATTCTGGAAAAAGAAATTCTGCAAGCGAGCCGATTGCAGTGTTTGCAAATAGAACAAGCAGAAGCAACATTCCCCTTAAGTTTGCAATACCACACAGTACAAATATTAAACAACTTTTCCCAAAAATGTACAGTTAGAAACCAATTTACTTGAAGTGATCCCTGAAATTCTAAATTAATGCTAGTATATACAATTTAAAGCAGTTAAAGCACAAACACAAACAATAGAGAGGAAATTCTAGGCTCCTTTATCAGGGATGTTAAGAATTAGGTTAGAACTCTGATTTTTCCACAGTCAAATAAAAATCCTAGTAGAGAGTCGATCTCTTATCTATGTAGAGAATTTCAAAAATAACTGCATTCATTTATTTGTAATAAGACGATGCCAAGCAGCCATGTAAACACGGGGCGGGGGCACTGTGTTTATTTGTGTCTTGGGAAGGACTCTCATCAGGGAGACTGCGGCAGTGTCTCCAGATGTGGCATTTTCCCAACATCAGAGAAAAGCCCAGATTTGTAGCCCCACCCACTTTTTGAAGCTCACAGAGCACAAAATTCCACAAACTCAAAATCTTTCAGGAGAGTGATGTATGCAGAGCTTTGGATTTCTCTCAGTAGCAGAGACAAAAACTTTTTCAAAAGGTAGAACTAGAACCCCACTCAGTAGTGGTAAAGCAGGACCATTGCCAGAGTCAGGTAGAGAGAAAGAAAAGAAAAGGGGTGGAGGTGGGGGTGGTGCACAAACACTTAAGGGCAGAGTTCATTCAGCATGTGCAATTTCTTGTAAAATTTATAAATCTATAAATACAGTAAAGCACTCCTATAGGTGTTAAAACACAATTTTAAAAAGTTTTATTAGGACATGATTCATAGATCATACAATCCATTAGTTCAATCGTATCGAGAAGAGTTTTACAATCACTAGCACAGTCAATCTTGGAACATTTTCTTCTTTCTTGCATTCATTATTAGCTCATCCCCCTCCCCTGCCATACCTTCGAGAAACCATTAATCCATTTACTCTCTCTATAGAGTCACCCATCTTCGACTCCCTATAATGAAAAACATACACAAAGGGGCAGAAAAGCTAATAGCACTAACGAAATAGAGGAAAACCTCAATCAAAAAGAAAGCACAAAATGTTAAAAACGAGAACTTTAAAATGGGTCAAAAGGGAAATCAAGTGATGAAGTGTTAAATTTTAACCTAATTGCATTGGCCGTAATCCACTTTGCAGTGCGCTCTGCCTGGTAGGAAGGCCATTCATATCCCTGGTCTGTGTTCAGAGGAGATTCACCGGAGACTCGGTCCATGTCAAACATGATCTTGAGACCAGTGCAGAAGCTGCATCTCAGAATCTAATTTCAGTTTTAGCCAAACTGCTGTCTTTTCAAGAGTCCTTTAAGAGATTACGAATGACATCCTTACCTGCACCTGGAGATAGTGATTGCTAACAAACACACAGAAAGGGTTAATCATTCTCAAGTGAAAACTCACACAGCAAGACTTAGAGAGTCACACCTAAACACAGGGCTCAACTTCCAAGATCACTTACCTCTGGGAGTCCCTTAGTGATCCATGGAAAATGGCTGAGTAGATGAACCCCTTTGGTACCACCTATTCAGTCCTTGAACCCCAAGACAGCCTTGGATTCCACTAAAATTGTGAGTTTGTTCTATGGGATTAAAAAATAAATGACCCCAGATTCAAATATACTCAATAGAAGGCTTCTTATTAAGCTTTAAACAGAGCATAGAAGGCTTCTTATTAAGCTTTAAACAGAACAAAGACAAAGAAGACAGGCATTCATGTGAGGGAAACCATCAGCGTGAAGCGGAAACAGAGCCCTCCGTACACTTCATATTCGTGAAATTACACCTGATTGGCTTATTTCACTCAGCGTATTAACAAAGGTCGCCTGTGTTGTAGTATCTCTCAGGACCTCATTTCTCTTTATGGCCACGCACTCTTCTGCTGTGTGTACACACAGTGTATACACCACATTTTGGAAAGCCAGTTGTCAGTGGACATCTCAATTGCTCCCACCTGGTCGCCATGGGGAATGATGCTGCAGGGCCGATTTCCATACGTGTCTCCATTGCAGGGAATTGCGAGTGTGAAGGTGCTTTTGATTCCAGGCAGCTTATGTCTACTGGACACCACCTGACCTTGCCTGGCCCTTCCCTCACGGGTTTACACATGTGCTGGAGCCTCCCTACTTTCTCTGTACTCTCGGAGTCTACCCTCCGCGGTCGGAATCTAGCCGGCCGAGTCAGTTCTCCTGTTTCTCCTTTCTGGTGGGGATGGAACAGTTCAGCCAGGCCCACATCTTGCCAGAGTTCTACTTTCAGCCCAGAAGCAGAAGCCTGCCAGATGTCTAGGCCACGGACAGCTCTGTGGGGTGCTTCCCTGTCTGCGCTGCTTGTGCTCTGCCTCCTTGCCTCCATCTGCCCGAGGCACCAGGAGCTTCCCCCCTCAAGACCCCAGCTTCAGTTCCTTCTCTCCTGTGGCCTCCATCACAGATTTCCATCGCTGTGGCTGCCAGGTGATTTCACCTAGGCACAGCGAGTATCTAATTGTTCCACCTCTTGTGAGTTATTCCTTGTATTCCAAAGGCCCCTTCGTTTCCATGGTCACATATTTAAATTCTCTCCTCTAGTTCCTGGCAGTAGCCATGAGTGAAGTACAGATTAGATCATGCACACAGCCAGTGTTGCTTTTCATTCTCCAGGGCCGGCTGGGCCAGGCTGCTCTACAAGGCAGACGCAGCCTGAGCCTCCTCTGTGGTACCTCTGTTCCTGCCCAGGAGAAGATTGGAGCAGCTCACTGCAAGAGATAGCTGAGGTCGACTTGTTATACCTGATCTCCAGAGTGCTGGGTGAAGTTAACATAGGTTGGTGAGCGGAGCACCATTCTCTAAAGGCCAGTCTCTGGAATCAGCATGTGCCCTGCACCAGATAGGATGGCAGACAGCAAACCCAGATGAAAACTACTATCCATAAACCACATGACATCCTATGATCATGTACAGAAAGCTCAGAAGAGTGGCTCTCCCTGTGGGGAGTGCCTGGATACAGAGGTACTTGCACAGGCCCAAATGCTAAGAGGAGAGGGTACCTTGTCCATCCAGGAACGAGGTCATAGGCTACCAGATGTCACATCTTGGAGGGGATGGTTCTGAACTGAGATCTGAAGGAGAAATGTGACTGAGGAAGAAATGGGATTGGGGAAGAGGGTGTTGTGGGTGACAAAGGTCTTCCAGGAAGAGCGCATCATCTGTCGCTGTAAAGCTGCCCTCAGTTTATTCCTGAACGCAAAGGCAGGGCCCGGCCCGTCTGCGTGAACAAGATGCCAGCAACCTGGTGGTGGTTTGGAAAGAAAGAACCAGGGAGGGTGCTAAGGAAGGAGACTTGGAGGTCGCTAGGAGCCTGCCCCTGGAGGCTCTTTCATCCTTCAGAGGGAGGCCAGCTTATAGGCCCGTGGATGTGTGTGAGGCTTGGGGTCGGCAGCTGGGAGTGTAGCATAGAGAGGCAGCGTCAATGATCAGGCTCTGGACCGCTCTAGCCCAGTGCTGCCTTGCCAGCAAGGGAGGCTTTTCTCGCTGACTGGGGACCAGAACTCACCTGGCACTCACCTGGAGGACAGGTACTTCCTGCCCTGACAAAACTGGCCTAGCCTACCTTAGCTCAGCAGGTGGGAATGAGAGTTTTCCTCAGAAACTGTTGCCTGTCAACTGCTCTCAAAGCAGGGGCGGGAGCTGCCAGTGATAATTCCAGGCTCTGAGTCAGTCCGTCAGGGAATTGTGGTTCTCTTTCTAGTTTTCCCAACAAGGAGCTGCAGACTTACTTCTCCCTCTCTCTTTCTCTCTCTGCCACCTCATTTTCTTTTCAGTGCTCTGGTTTGGGGTTGGTGACCACTGAGCTTTAGGCCCCATACCATCCCCTGATCCTGTGGACCCTCCCTCTCTGCTGTAGCCACCTTCTGGGACTTTGGGTCCACGCTGTCATTCTCTGTCACCCCCCCGCAGAATGTGTGCTCCACAAGGACCGCTCTGCACCATGCATGTCGCTCTTGCTTGGCCCCCTAACCCCGTGACCCCATCGTGTCTGAGCTTTCCAGGACCCCGAGACGTACGAGTTGAATACTGGATTAGTCTGGTGGGTTAGGCATCGTGGTCCTAGGTGTGCTGACTGGCTATTCTCCTTGGTGCTCAAATCTGTCTGTCTTTCCATCTTTCAGGAATCCAGCAGCCAGGGCCACCGTATTACACTGACCCCGGAGGACCAGGCATGAACCCCGTCGGGAATCCCATGGCGATGGCTTTCCAGGTCCAACCCAATTCTCCCCAGGGCAGCACAGCCTACCCCCCGCCCCCGTCCTATTGCAACACCCCCCCACCCCCCTACGAACAGGTGGTGAAGGCCAAGTAAGTGGGGGTCGACGACACCTGCAGGTGTGAAGGAAGGAAGCAACACGGCCCCACTGCAAGTAGACAGGAGGGCTCACCTAGTCTTCGCTGTCCCTGTCAGAATTCCCACAAGGAGTGGCCCGACGTGCCACTAAGGACAAATTCCTTTTTGATCTCTTCAAAGCAAGCACAGCTCCCTTTCAAGTTTTCCACGGAGGACCAGTGTTTGAATTCACTCCGTGTCTCCTCTCTCGTGTCTGTTCTACTGTCATCTGTGCTCTCTGCCAGGGTGGTGACAGCCCCAAGGTTGCAGGTCTTAGCGTGGCAAACCCAGATCTTCAAAAGAGAGGCTGGGAGGAGGAGGGTCAGGGGGAGCCCAGCTGACTGCGGCGCCCTGGCCTGGGCCAGCCTCCCTCCAGAGGATTGAAAGCCTGGCCCTCCAGTGAAGCGGACCAGCAGCTTGTGCAGAGGGACTTGCAGACACTGACTCTGAGCCATGCCACTTTTTTAGGACATTCTGAGGGAGAGGCGCAGCAGAGAGGATGCCATTCAGCTCCTCTGTGTACCCAGAGCCACCTCAGTGGCTCCTGTTGAAGCTGGGCCTCCCCTCGCACCACAGCTGGGAAGAGCAGATGTTCCCGGCTTCCAGCTCTGGGAAGTGAAATGGCTGTCTACAGGTTCCTGAGAACCACTGCAGAGTGTGACTTACATGCACAGGAAATCACGCTCCCTGCCCAAACAGGCATGCGGCATTGATGAGCATTTGGTCTGACTCTGGAGACAAGACTTGCCGCGTTCAGAAGCCTTTGAGGAAGCTCTTGTATGGTCGGAGGAGGAGGTGTCTTCCTGGGCTGCTCAGCTACTGGCCACCCTCAGAGCATAGCTGCTCCCCTCCAGGGCATATTTAGCAGAGACATGAACAGACTTCAGTGTGGGGAGCAGGAGAGGTGCTCTGTGGGAGCCGGGACAGTTGAGCATTCTCAGCCTGGGCCAATGGGAACCCACAAAACGATCTAGTCCGTTCCCACTCACAGTGACCCTAGAGAGGGTTTCTGAGGCTGTGAATCTTCACCGGAGTAGACAGCCTCATCTCTCTCTGGTGCGTTTGAACCACTGACTTTGTGGTTAGCAGACCAGTGCCTGATCCAGAGCACTCCCAGGCCTCCTTTGGGGCAGTGGTGGCAGCAGCTAATCTCAACCATGTGTGGGGGGCCCTGGGGACCAGGAACAAGCTAATAACGCAGACATCTGGGGGTGCAGAGAGAATTCTTCAGAAACCATTGAAGTCATTGTTCCTGAGCATGTAATGGAATTAGAATACAGGTGAGGTGCTTGGCCATGCAAATCCCTGGCAAAGAAGCCTGTCTCACCTGGAATCGCTGGCAGTGAGCGTGGTGGCCGTTCTGTCTTGGCGTAGTGAGTTGTGTTGATAGTGTACGTCCACCCATATGTAGGCTTGATGTGTCATGTAGTTTGAGGGCAAAGCTGTGTAGCCAGGCTCCCTGAAGGCCAGAGTGTGGTTCGTGTAGTGTAGTGGGAGGGGAGGGGTGGTACTTCCTTGAGAAATGATCCAATTGGAGCCTCTTGAAGAGCTGTTACTCACTGAATTTGACCTTCAGCAGTCTACTGCAGGACGCTGGGTTCTCATTGCCCCGGACCGGATGGTGTCCATGCTCCCCTGGGCTATTTGTATGGGGTAACATCCCAATTGCCTTTGAGTCAGGGCGACCCCGTGGGTGTCAGAGTAGAACTGTGCCCTACACCATTTTCAGTGGCACAGATTCAGAAGCTGATGGCCAGGCCTTTCTGCCAAGGTGCCTCTGGGTGGACTTGAACCGCCCATCTTTCAGTCAGCAGCTGAGCACGTCGACCTTGTGGACCACCAGGGACTTCTGGTGAGAGGAGAGGATTGAGGGCTTGGGATGGGGCAGAAGCCACTGCTGTCAGACTTTCCCGACGATCCAGTCTCGGAGTCACCTGGAGAATTGCATGGGAGACGCTTGGGGCGGGGGGTGGGGGCAGGGAGGACACCCCTTGGGCATGACGTTTGTGAACACAGATACCGCCAGTGTCTTTGACCACTTTTATGCGACCTCTGACCTCTTGTCACTGATGGCAGTACTTCCTTATGCTTGGCGCCTTGCTTTAAGTGAGAAAACAAAGCACAACGTCTTGCTGTTTACCACCAAGGAACAACTCCATGGGCCCCCAAATTCACCTTCCTTCAGGCCGTTTATTTTGTATTTTTAACTTCACCTCCTCAGCCCTCCTTTTTAAATCAAGAAGCACAGGAAGCGCCCCCTCTGAGGCACGGATGCAGGGTCTGGCAGGGCAGGCACCCCCAAGCCTCTGGCTGAATTGTGTTCTTTGTTTTGAAAGCACTCACACACAGAGACCGCATGCCGGGCAGTGCTGGACATTGTATACTCCCGTGTTTGTGTGAGGGACATGTTGTGCTCCCGTGGACACTGGTACCGTGTACTGAAACCCCACCTCTGGTGACATTCCCTGGCCATTCTTGTTTGTGTGTGTTCCCCGTGGGCTGTCCCCACCTCGTAGCGGCCCGTGGTCAGGAGGAAACTTGAAGTTGATCTGTGCATGCTCTTCCTCTGCAACCCTTGGCTCATTTCCTTATTTGTCATTCTTTTGATAGGGTACTCTTTCCTATGTATGCAAAATAAAAACACATTTGGGCGTGTGCTTTGATTGTTTTGTTGGGGAGTGGGACGGAGGAGAGGGGTGACACAGGAGGACTCACAGTGCATCCGGTCCCATGAGGGTGGGGAGGAGCGGGCTAAGTGTTTGGTCCAATCTCAGGGAAGCTGGAATGCTGGAAATGAGATAGCATCGAAGAACTTAGAGTACTTCCTGTTCTCATTGTGAAAAACGAAGCGAAGGTAAAAGCAGCAACGACGAAGGCCAACAGAAGGACAGTAGCAAACTCACAGATGATGCATGCCGGCTTTAGGTAACCCAGGCCTCCATCTGTTTTCTGGTGTGTAGGTGAACCTTGCATGTACAGCCCAGCTCCGCTAGGTCAGAAATGATGTTTCTATCATAGACAGAAGTGCAGGGCAGAGCTGCTTCAGTTACACTGCATTTTAAATAAGTTAACTCAATGAGATGAAGTTTGTAAGGAAGCATTTTATACTTCGCCTTCTTAAAACCCTAGTTCAAGGGAATGGTCCCTGCCATCCTACTGTGGACGCAGGCTTGAGGACATCGTTCTACCTATCCTGGAAGGTGGCCTAGCACACACTGCCCTGTTCAGCCATTTTGAGAAACGTCTCCATGCTGTCTAACCTGGCACTCCCAATATCTCCCCCAAAAAACCCACAAAAACAGTTTGCTGTCAGATTGGCTCCAGCTCAACCACAGAGGCCCTGTTGGTATGAGCAGAACTGTGTACCGTGGGGCGTCCATGGTGGATTTTGAAGAAACAGGTCACCAGGCCTTTCTCCCGAGGCCCCT